CCCCCACGCACTCGGTTCCCTCTTCCGGTTCCGTGTTTTTGTCCCGGGTGCAGCCCTCCCTGCGCCAGGGGGATTTTCGTGGGCGGAGTGGCCGGCCGTGTTCAGAGGGGATCTGGATGCCGACCCTCCAGAACCGGACAGATGGCCACGGTCTCCTACCCACGTCCTCTGTCGGGGGAGCCAGAGGACGTGGTTTAGGGTGGCCCTTGAATCCACACCCAGTAACATAGCCCAGACTTCATTAACCTAAAGATAACAAGGCCCTTCCGCGGGAGGGACAGCGGGACCTGGACAGAGCTGCTTGGGAACCATCGATCCAGGCAGGAGCCCAGGTGCTGCCCCATCCGGGGCCACGGCAACCGGTGCTGATGGGGAGGCGTTTCCATTGGTGCCGATGGCCGGGCGCCGGTGATCGCTTCACACATTGTGTTTAGTTTTCCGTCCCGGAGCCCCAATGGCGGCTTCTTGGTGTCTCTGTCAGCAGTGCTTTGGGACAGTGTTGTCCGAGGCCCGGTCCAACGATTATTTGGTCCCGTTTTAACAGACTAAGGTTTGAGGTAGAAGCGTGCAAGGCAGTGCCTCTGGCGTGGCAGCTCTGGCTCCGTTTTATTTTATTTTATTGTTATTACTTAATCCTCACCCGAGGACATTTTTTTTCCCATTGATCTTTAGGGCAAGAGGGAGGAGGAGGAGCGAGAGGAGAGGAGAGAGAAACATGCATGTAAGAGACACATCAACTGCCTCCCTCCCCCGCCCCACCTGCACCGCCCAGACCAGGACCTGGGAGGTACCCGGCCTTGACGGGAATGGGACCCAAGACCCTGGGTAGGCGGGCCAACGCTGTAACCACAGAGAAAAACCGGCCAGGTTTTAAAATGGCTCCATTTTAAAATGTCTTTGTTTGCCCTGGCCGGTTTGGCTCAGTGGATAGAGCGTCGGCCTGCGAACTGAAAGGTCCCAGGTTCGATTCCGGTCGAGGGCACATGCCCGGGTTGTGGGCTCGATCCCCCGTGGGGGACTTGCAGGAGGCAGCTGATCCACGATTCTCTCTCATCATGGATGTTTCTCTCTCTCCCTTGTACTTCCTCTCTGAAATCAATAAAAATATATATTTTTTTAAAAAGTATTTATTATACATATTTTGACAACCTTAACTTCATGATTTAGATGAATGCACCATGATGATATCTAAGATATCATTAGGTGAACTTAACCTACAGGTGGGCTAATCTCTAAATTCCTCATTTAGCTAATCTAAGAAAAGAATGCCCATCCAGGGTTCACGGGAAAGGGCCTGACTCGGGGCGGAGGAGAATCCAGGCATCTGAAAGGGTGTTCTTTGTGCTGTACATTGTGTGGGGTAGAGCCTTCCCAGATAGTGGATGCGTTACTTCCTTCAAAGTGGTCGACTTTCCTTACTCTTTCCATTTATTAATTAAAATGTGCTCAGCCCTAGCCGGTTGGGACCTGTGGTTGCAGGGTCCTCCCCGGCCCAGGCCCTGGTCGGGCTCGTGCAGGAGGCAACCCATCGATGTGTTTCTCTCACATGTATGGCGTGAGCAGGGTTCTAATGTTTTCCCCTGTACGGGGAGCCAATCGCTCCGGCATCATTTACTTAGTAATACACCTTGGCCCCACTGACTCATCCTGCCTTCTCTGTCACAATCGTGTTTCTACACGTGTGCCGGTTCACTTTTAGAGTCTTGGCTCTGTTCCCCTGGTTCGTTTATCTCTCGGCCACACGCCCTTACTTAGAGGAGCTCTACACAATGTCTTAATATTAACAGGACGGGCCCCTCCATGTTGTTCTTCAGAATTATCTTGGCTCTTGTT